TGTTCTATATGGAGTTTTTTTCTGCTTATTTCTCACAAGAATCATTTTAGGAATATGTAATATCATCATTTTACAGATGAAACTGAAGCTCAGAGAATTTTGAAATTGGCCTAAGATTATTTAACAGTTAGGTTTTTAATGCATATTGGAAACCTAATTTAGGCACAGTCACCTGTAAAGATAACATGTTTTCTTACGTATAACACCCCTAATTTTATTTTAAAGGCCAAGTAAATATCAGTATTGTTTCCTACAGGAAAAAAAAAGTGAAAGTAAGGACTCCAAGATGAGGCTGAAAATCAACAGTCAAATATTTTATTATTTTTGCTTCTTTGATAGAGAAGATGATGAGACATTGGAGTTCTGAGTGTTCTTCTCAAGATTATGTTCAGTGTAGATTTTATTAATGAATTTCTTGGAGGAGAGATGACAATATCAAGTATTTAGAAGCTTCAAATATAACGGTTGTCTTAGTTACTTTTCTCATTGCTGAGACAAAATACCCCACACCCAAAGTTAAAGGAGGAAAGGTTTATTTGGCTCACAGTTTATAGAGGTTTCAGTCCATAGATGTCTGGATCCAAAGCAGGGTGTAGGGCAGAGGAGCATCGCAGAGGAGAAATAGTTCACAGTGGGCAGAAGGCAGAAGGTAGCAAGTACAAGAGACAGGTGACAAGCAAGGATGCTCTTTCTGTCCCTTATATCTTATCCAGGCTAGGGTGGGTAGCACTCACATCTTTAATCCTAGTGTGCCATCTTTGATCCCAGCATCACTCACCCTACATCCAGCCTCCTCCAAAAAGCCCCACTTCTGACTGCATTAGGCTTTGGGGAGACATCTAGATATAAGCTGTAACAGTGACATTTCTACTTACTGCACACATACCAGGGGCTCTTAACCATAGCTGTGGCACACCTTGAGCATTCACCATTCTCGCAAATTTTTTGTGAATTTACCGCCCATTTCTGCTAAAGATGTAGTAAAATCCAGTATTAGTGCAATAAAACAAAGATCCAGAAAAGAGTGCAAGTACATATTGAGTTCTCAACAAGATGCCAACAAGACAGGGAAGATTTTATAGCACCCATTCTCCCATAGAGACATTGAATTGAACAATTATCCATGCTTCAAAATACCTTCATAAAGACTAAGAAATCCAAGAGACTTGAGCCCTTGAATGTAATGAAGACATAAGAAAACAATGCACTGAAGAAGATAGGTAGGCTCACTTCATTCCTTCACCTACCCAGACAGTGTTGCCTGGAGAGTGCTATCACCTGGTTGGGGAAAGAGGACAGAAGTCAGCACCAGACTTTACCTTGGAGCCCAGCACTTGTCACGCTTAGTAAAAGCTGATGTTGAGCAAGCCCCAGGATCTCAAGACTCCAGGCTGGTAGCCATGAACGAGTCTTCATGCCCAACCTAGTACCAGGTCTCTCCCATCAGCCCTGGGATTTGGGCATACACCAATGCTAGTGGGCTCCTCACACACACAGCTTCCAGGCCCATCCTACTGCTGGGTCAGCACTCCTGGCTTTAGTCCCTAAGTGTGGCCCAAGACAAGTAATAGCCTACAGTCTCATCCTCCAGCTTAGTCCCTGGAACCTCATACTCTAGCATGACCAGTGAGATGGCAGGCCTCATCAGCACTGAAACAGTCAGGGCTTGTGGACCAGGCTCCAGCTCGATCCATGTGGAACCACATTCCCAGTGGCCAGTGACTGAGGGCCACCCTGGAGGGTCAGGCCTTTAGTCCCAAACACTCAGCTCCAGGCCAGGCTCTGCAGACCCAGTTTTCAGGTGATTCATCACAGCTTCAAGCTCCAATCCAGGTCCCTGGTTCGACACAAGAGTCTCTACTACCCTTTTCTATTCATATAGAATGTTCAATGAAATTTCAAAAAATAAAATAAAAACAGATATTTACATATGTTCTATTGAATACATACATTGAAAATCATTAATTCAAGGAACAAAGTATTCAACCATGTAATCACTCAGTTTGCTGAATTACTGTGGGTGAGGGTAATGATCCTAGGTGTGAGAATTTATTCAAAATGAAGCAAATCCATTTCTAGTTTTTAAAAAGTTAAAAAGAAACCTGTGCATTAAATCGTATTGTTAGGTATGTGTGATGGTTGATTGATTGTATCAATTTGAGTAAGAGAAGCTCAGCTAAATTGGCTCAGAAATTCCACACCCTAGGTGCGGAAGACCCACCCCAGGGCAGCTTGACTGCTGGATGGAATAAAGGGGAAATGGAGAAGGATGGATCTGCTTCTGTTTCTTTGGAGGAGCTCCAGTCTTTCCCTTCCCCTTGGACGTCATCTCCTGGCTTCCAGCACAGATCCTTCAGCCTCCTGACATGGACCCACTTGGGACCCTGCAGTGAGCTCCAGACCTTCAACTAAATCCTTTGGTCTCCAGTGTGTGGACAGACCCTCTGCACTCTTCCACATCTGACTCTGTGAGTGGCCATTGTAAGCCAGTCTGGTAAATACTTCTGTACTGGTATATCTTGTATTATATCTGTTTCTCTAGTAAACACTGACTGATGCAATATGTGATTTGGTTCTGATTGTGGTGGAAACTTTGAGAATGAATTTTCCCTAAGGTCATTATCATATTGCATCACTATTTTAAATAGATTTTATTATTAGAGAAAAAGACCATTTATTGCTAAAGGTACTGTGAAATAGAAGATTTCATTAAGTGAGAGAACAAGAAGCAAGGAACAATAGTTTCAGCCAGCCAGCCTGAGTTTAGGCAGTCAGAGATTTTCTGTACTAATTATCCCCAAAGCAAGTCCTTGAACATCACTCTTTACTTCAGACAGTTGGACCCAGATTATACTAGGAAAGTAAAGCAAAACTCAAGCCCTGGAAGACATGAGTTCCTTTTTTCTTTATCTACTGTAGAATGTTTGGTGTTCTGGGGTATTAAGCATGCCTGTTAAATTTTAAACATCTGCCTTATAATTGCAAGGCACTATTCTAATTATAGAGGAAACAAATTAAATTGATAAGATAATGTAGTACATCTGTACATGACTACACCTAGGGTAGCACAACTGTGAATAAAAAAAGCTCGATATTTAATAAATTGAGATGTTAGCATGTTTGAAATGGTCAGAAAGGTGAGGAGAGATTCCTTTGGGATGGATCTTGATTTAAGATGATAAGTTTCTCCAGGTGATTGGAACACATACCCAGGCTTGTGTGTAGTTGCACAGTTTCTTCTAAAGGAAGTCAAGTAATGTAATTCAAAGTTGTCAAAAACTGCTATGATTTGAATTCTTTTAATCTGAGAGTCTATAGCAGAGAATAGTACTGATTTATAAATTCAGCAAGAAAGCAAAATGAGAAGAAACATTAAAGAATCAGAGAATGTACTCGGTTCTGAATCTGAATTTAGTAATGCTACTATCATTCTCATTGCTATTACCACTATTTTATGCTACAAGAGAAGGCAGACGTGTAATAACTATGATAATATACAGATAGGACAAAATCCAGTTTTCCAAAAGTTGGATGTGCCTGCTCCATTATTATTGTAAACAGCTAGCAGGATGTTGGTGCTTCCTACTCATTTTCCTACCATTATTACTTCAATAATTATAGAAGTAGTAGAGATGGAGTCTCAAAGAAGAAACCTACTGAGGGATAGCTTGATTTGAGAACCTTGAAATCCCCTTTAATCAAAACTTCTCCTTATGTTCTTCTCCACATGAATAATAAAGGTGACTCCACTAGTGCATCTGAAATTCCAACACTGAAGATTTATCTATTTAAATTGAAAATCATTCTTTTCCCAAACCTGTAAGAATTATCTTTAAATGAAAATCTCTTTCTGCAAAACTGAACTCATCCAAACTAGAACTGATAAATGCTGCCACGAGACATGAACATGTGAAGGATTCATGAAGGAATATCAACATTAAAGGGCAGAGTCTTTCCTTTTCATGCTTTTTATTTTTTATTTGGGTTTGTTCTTATTATCGATTATCTGTTTGTTTCTATTATTTTACTAGACAAATGTGTAAAATACCAATGCATAGAAAATCCTAGGAAATCATCAAGCACTCTGAGTTTGCAGATGAAGAAATTACCTGAGACTTTATGTCCCAACTTCCAAATAAAACAGGGCTAACTTCTCTACATAATTTATTGTATTTCTTTACATTATCTTGTTTCTGCCTCCATTTTTATGCTATCCTAGGCTACAGAATGGTTATGCATCTTGATAGAAATCCTAGTTATCATAATAGGTGACAGTGAAATTGAAAGCTTGTCATTTCATCACTGGGATAAAAGAAGCACCAGAGAGCTAGATGATTTGCTCATGTTAGGACTGCATTCTTTTAGAGGGATATTTTGTGCACTTTTGGACCCATTTCTATCCCACCACACTGCCTCTTGGACTAGAGCATCTTGAGATTAAATAGAAAGTCATAAACTCATGCACACATAGGCAGATCTGAAGGAGAAGCTGCAGAACCCACCCAATTTCTGCTACTCGAAGACTCCAGGAGTGGAGGTGTTGCCCAGACATGGTGGTGTTCAGAATAGACATATGCAGATATATTTTTATTTCCATGAATCAAATAAGTTACATAGGTGATACCATAACCCTAAACAAAGTATTGTTCTGAAATTTGAGTGTCTTTATGTTATTTTTCCATCCCCTTTCCCTTCCCTCCCTCCTAACTCCACCCATCCTTTAACCCTCCCTTTTTTTGTACGTATTAGCAGAACATAATGAATGCCTTAAATAGAAAGAGTGCTAAGAAAATATTTACCCATAAACAGATAAATAAAACTTTAAAAGTTAGGCATGTGAAACACTTGGTTAGATTTGCAACTGAGGGGATTTGCTTCGTTTCTCTCAACTTTGCTTCTACATCTGAAGTGCAGACTAGCATTTTGAGGCAAGGTGATCAGAACAGATTAACATTAAATACTTTAAGTCCTCATTTTTACATTTTTAATTGCTGCAATTATTCACTTATTCTGTTAGACCTAAGCGCTCATATTCTTTCTTGTGCCTGTCTTTCAGGTAATTTAAATGTCTTATCAGTTGGTTGAACTTAATCCACGGAGAGAAAAAACAAGGTAACTGAGTTTATTTTCTGGGGTCTTACTCAGAACCCAGCAGTTGAAGAAGTTTGCTTTGTGGTGTTTTTGTTCTTCTACGCAGTCATCATCCTGGTAAACCTCCTCATCATGCTGACAATGTGTATGAGCGATCTTCTAAAGTCTCCTATGTACTTCTTCCTCAACTCTTTGTCTTTGTGGACATTTGTTTCTCTTCGTCCACAGCACACAAATTGATTCCTAATTTATTAGCACAGAACAAAACTATCTCCTATGAGGGGTGCAATTGCAACTCTTTGGGGTACATTTCTTCGGGTGCACTGAGATCTTCTTCCTAATCATCATGGCCTATGATTGCTATGTGGCTATCTGCAAACTGCTACACTACACGACCATATGGACCAGGAGAGATGCAATAAACTGTTACTGGGGACATGGTTGCGTGGGTTCATACACACTGTTATCCCAGTGTCTCTGGTTGTCCAGCTCCTCTTCTGCGGCCCCAATGAGATTGATCACTACTTTTGTGATGTTCACCCTGTGCTGAAACTCACCTGGAAGGACACACATCTAATCGGAGGCGTGTTGACTGCCAACAGTGGGACCATCACGCTGGGCAGTTTTGTCATCCTGCTCATCTCTTACACTGTCATCCTGGTGTCTCGGCAGAAGCAGTCGGCAGAAGGCAGGCACAAAGCCCTCTCCACCTGCAGTGCCCACATCACTGCGGTCATCATCTTCTTCGGTCCCTGTACTTTCACGTACATGCGCCCTGATATCACCTTCACTGAAGATAAGATGGTGGCCGTGTTCTACACCATCATCGTGCCCATGCTAAACCCTATGATTTAAACACTGAGAAATGCAGAAGTGAAGAATGCAATGAGGAAACTGTGGAGCAGGAACATTTACAGGGAGGCTCAGGGTAAATAGTTGGAAATAATTTATTTTTTATTTTTATTTTTTTGGCCTCACGTGCTTTAGAGCACAAAATGTTTTTTATTAACCATTAATCTTAATACACAGATTAAGCAGGAGTCAAAAATAGCACATATTAATATATTCTACTAGCATCCTCCTTTTTCCCCTCAACTTTAAAATGTGCCATGTAGATCACTAGTTCTCTCTTACAGTAGTAGATATTTGCAGAGAATAGAAATTTTGATCTATTTTGCAACTATTTTTGCTGAATCTAAAATGACATTAATTGAAAAAAAATGTTACTCAGGACAACAAGCAAATTTCTATCAATTTCATTTTAAATGTTCGTGTCAAAGTCAGAGCTGACATTTAAACTTTCCAAATGAATTTTGGTACATTCTGAAAATTGTTTCCAAATTTTCAATGTGATCTGTCAAAATACAGTGTCACAGCTCTGGTAAACTTTTTTTGTGGCACTTAAGAAAGATGAATTGTTTAATAAATTTCTTATGAATATATAAAAGGGGAAAAAATCAATGAAATAAATAATTTAAACTTGGTGATCTCATATTTTCTCAGCTTTGGTTAAGTCGTCTGTGTAATGGACAAAATAATAACATCACTAGATTGTCACGTAACGGAGGAACACATGAGAGGATAACATTCCACAGAAGTAAAGTATGACTTGACATTGTTATATTTATTTGACTATTTCAAAAATCATACAATTTTCTAAAATATTAAGGCCAAAGGAAGCTTAATAAGCTCAGAATCTCAGTCTAGTCATACTGTGCATCACTATATATTTTTTTAATTTTTGTCTTTTCTCATTTATTTAAATGATGAAAAAATTTCTTATGAAATATTTAAAGTTGTTTCTGGGGGTTTGAACCGTGGTCGGCATGTATATGGTAGATATGTATAGTAGTGTGAATGACAGAATGTATTAAAAACAACACAAATGTGCTTACACTTTCATTCTGTATCCTCTAAGACTCAGTGAAAACTAAGCCTGCTAATTTTGGAATAAGAGCAGAGGTATGCATGGAGATTCAGAAATATAAAGCACAGGCATCAGTGACACATATTTTTCCTCACCTTCTGATGGAGAAAACATCCTGTTCCATTGTTGGATTCATTTTCTTTTCTCTCACACACAAAAGAGATTGGTAGACACACCTCTAACACTCCCTTCCTATTCATTGTAACATCTCATTAATATTCGGTTTCTTAGAGTCTCTAAACTTTACTTGGTGGTAGTTGGAAATCCCTATTCATAGAAAGTGACTACCAGGAAAATTAAATAAACTAAATGAAAACAAAGCCACATGTGAAGTACAGGTTATGATGATTAAATTAACAGAAGAATTCAAGCTTGGAAAACCATAATTCCTACAATGTTTGAAACAAACAGCTTTACTTAACACAGTGAAAACTTTATCACTGGCTAGACTTACCTAACCCCTTGTCCATCCCTGCATTCCTCAAACATTCATACTGGAAAAACATCTTTTTCTTGTCTTAACTTTTATCAGCGTTGGTGATCGATTCCCCTTTTACTATGAACCACAGACTGCTATTTATTTTCTTATAGAAAATAAACAGATCAATGGTTATTTCTTTGCCATTCTTTCACTGAATATCCAGAAATCTCAGAGCCAGGTGTATCCTCTACCTAGGTTTGTGTTCCTAGCTTGGGGTGAGCTTTATGCATTACTTGAAGAAAGGACTGCGAGGCTTAAGAGTGAATCTGATGTTGACACATACTCAGAATTAAAACAGAGAAATCAAAAAGATGCAGCATATCCAATGATAAAGTTATCAGTCTCTCTCTGGAATCATATTAAGGCACAGTTATTATCCCAGTTCAGAATGTTTGCACTAAGTCTCTGTGTACCTCTGTTAGCTCAATTTACAAAAGGGAGCAAGGGCAATGCCTTGCAAAATAGGCTGGCCATAAAGGTCACTTGTGAATTTTTTTTGAGATGCAATGGAAAATATTCTGAGACATTCTGACCCATTAAGTCCAGGTTATTGGTTATGCAAAAATCTGTATTTTAGCAACAACCCCTCATGATTTTTATGTGGTCAGTGGAACATGTGAGCACTTAGATTTGCAAAGCTGAAAACAGATGACCTTTAATGTTCTTAGGACACAAGGGCTCTATGAATCAATAGAATTCAAAGAGCACCATCTGTGCTGCTGAAATTGAGCTGAAGTTAGGAAACTGTGAGAGGTAAATATTGTCCACTTGATCATTTCTCCACAATACACTTTCCTTTATTCTTTTGCATTAAAGAATTGACTCTTGGGCATATAATGGAAGTCCAGTGTCCTTGGGAACCTTGCAGCTGCCTAATTCGTATTTGTTTGTTTGTTTGGTACCAGAGATCAAACTTGGGACCTTGGGCTTGCAAGGGAGGCACCAGAACCACTGAGCTAAATCCCCAGACCCATACTTGTCAGACAAAGAATGTGAACATATGAAACAAGGCTGAATGTAAATTTTCACCTTTTCACAAAAGTTCTTGTGAGTCAACTCCCACTGTAGAAGCTCAGAGAGTCTCAGTATAATTTTTTGGAATAACATGACTATGAATCACGAGAACTCGAACTTTCCCCAGTTTTAGCAATAGTCAACTGATGAACAACAACACCTCATTCCATAAATTCATGATCACAACGTTGACTGCTGTCCCTGTAGTGTAGTAGCCAGGCTGTGACAATGATGGGACAGAGCACCTTGGTTGGAAAATTCACTGATGAAAAAGATGGCAACCCTTTTCATTTAAAGTTAAATTTAGTTTATGTAACGGGAAAAAATAAAACTATTTCTGCCTGTAACTGCTAACCAGTTATACTTCTTTCCCCTGGATCAACATAAACATTATGAACACATTTCTAAGCAATGTGCTCCTCCATGTGCTTTTCCTTCTCTCACTGTCACATATCCAGGAAACTAACATTTATTCCACCTAAGAGTTTCCAGAATTAAAGTAACTTGTGATTTCTGAGTGATGATGCTTTCTTTTTTTCCATGTTCTTGTATAATGATCAGTTGTGTCCTCTGAATGACAGAACAATGTAACATTTCTTTTGTAACTGGGAGGAGAAGCTACCAGGAGGTACTGGGGCCCACGGTGAAATATGAAATTAATCCCAGCCACATCCAGTCTACACTAGCTGAACTCCCACTTTAGCCAAACACATGTGAAAAATAATTAAGTGATTTTATATCAACCATGGGCTTCAGAGTGGATTTTTGCATGCCATTGTTGGTCTTATTGATTGTATGGTCAAAGTAGAACTGGGGACACTGAAGTATGTTCATGAACTAATAAAATCACCAATAAATTTAGTGTCAGGTACTTTGAAAGCAGGGATGGAAAAGGTCAAGGTACAGACTGAGAACATGAGAGACAGCATCTGGCGTGGGTTATATTTACAATGTGCAAACCCCACACATCTAGGTACACAGTGGCCAGCATTCTTCCTGCTGTTTCTTCCATAGAAGACACATAAAAGAGATGCATAGGATCACCCATGACTGGTGTGCCTCTTTCATGCCTCTTTTTGATAAATTTTCAAATGATTCATAAATGACTTGCGTAAGCCATGTTCAAAGAGACCCCTGTAAGGTCTCCTTTGGTAAGAGACCAAATAGCAACTTTTCACAATAAATAAAATTAGGTACTGGAGGATGTGTCTTGCATTCATATCAACAGGCTTATTAAAAAGAAACAGCAGGATTAGATGCCTGCCCATGCAGCTCTCTCTTCACCTTTCCCTTTCTGGGTGAGATTTTCTCACAGGATAGAATCTACAGAGCAGCATCAAAACTAGAAACTGGTTTGCTATCATCTGTTTATTTCATTTATTTCATTTCAATTTAATTCATCTTAATTTCTTCTAGCTCTCTAAGTTTCCTAATTTTCAAGCAGGGGACATATCAATGTCTTTTCGAAAGGGAAAAACACTGCTGAAATCTTTGTCACCCCTTGGCTACTTTCTGCAAATGTTCTCACTACCTTAACACTCGTGTTCTTGTTGCACAAACAGACAGATGCATTGAGTGTACAATTCACTTCAGCGGAACTGTACTGTAGGTGACAGAGCAGCACAAAATATCAGTTCTAACATGTGAATACCCAGCAATCTTCTCCCATTCTTCAAGCTCCAGTCCCTTAGCTGTGTGCTGCAGTGTGGCTGATGCTACATGACCTCAGAAGTCTCCTCCAAGTCACAAAAATTGAGAATTCAAGCACGAATGAAGCATATACCCCCCAGTTTTCAATTAGTTTTGCCAGCTGTTCCCTCTTTTTTTTCTGAGATGTACTTTTTCTGAGATATAATTTAAGGTATGTAATGTGATGATTTCATAGGTGTATACATTATGAAATAAATAGCGTAACCAATGTAATTTGTACATTCGTCATTTTACTTATGTTCATTTTGAGTGTGTGTGTGTGAGTGTGTGAGTGTGTGTGTGAGTGTGTGTGTGCCGTGGTCCAGCTTCTGATTCCCATCGTCTTTCCTCCATCCAAGGATGAGGACTTCCGTGAGTGGTGTGGACACAGATTTGGTTAGTTTACAAGCTGAAACAATAATGTGAAGGCTGTTTACATGCCCATGCGTACAGCTGCCCTGACTCATACATTACTTTTCTCATGACTGACATGCCCCAACATAGAATAGCTATCATTGGTGAAAACAAGTTGACACATCCTTATCACCCAATGTACATAGTTTTCAGCAAAGTTCACTCCTAGTGTATGTTCTGGATTCTGATTATTGTGTGGTGGTGTGAATAGATATACAAAGTAACATGGAGACTAACTTGATTGCTCTAACTTCCTCTTTGCTCTGCCTATTTAACCTTCCCATCCCCTTAATTCCAGGAAGCCACTGGCCTTTTTTACTATCTCCATCATTTTACCATTTCAGAATAACAAATACTTGGAACTACACAGCTAAAGTTTTTCAGACTGGTGTCTTTCACTTATAATATACACTAATTTTTTGTCATTATTTTCATAGCTAATTTCTTTTTAGGGCTAAATAGTATTCCACTTATTTTATATGCAATCAAGATGTACCAAACATTTTTTATTAACCTACTAAATATCTTGGCCTCTTCTGATTTGTCAACTGTGAGAAAGCTGATGTAAACATCTGTGCATAGAAGACATAAATTTTCAAGTCATTTTAATTTTTTATAAATACCAAGGCATCTGATTTGTAGAATCATATGATGGGTATGTATAGTTTCAAAGAAACTGCCAGACTACCATTTAATGTAGCTATGCAAGTTTTGCTTCCCAGTGTTGATTATTACAGTTTTTTTTCTCCACAACCCCACCAGCACTGAGCATGGCCAGTGTTGTGGATTTGGCCATTTTATTTAGGTGCATAGTAGTATCTTGTTTTAATTTTCATCTACTTGATGACATATGTTGAGGAGCATCTTTTGACAGGCTTACGTGCCACCTGAATATCTTCTTTGATGATGCATCTGTCAAGTACTTTGCTCACTTATTAGATTGTTTTCTTATTATTGAGTTTCACGGATTTTTTATACTTTGGGATAGCAGTCCTTTACTGGAGCTTTTCATTGCACATGTTTTCTCTAAGTCTAAGGTCTAAATTT